AAGAGCAAGTGCCCTTCAAGTGGTTACAAAAAGGGCTCCAATACTCTGGGGAACCCTTTGATTGCATGTCAAATGTACAGTGACTAGATGGGATCTAAATATCAATTGCCATATGTTATGATACAGAATAAACCTGCCAATGAAAGAGCATGAGGTCTGTCTTACATGGAATAGGAAAGAGATAATCATGTCTGTGACATTGATCAGGGTTGTGCAACAGATAACAAGGTAATTGAATTTGTGCATTTGGGGTTAGGTTGTAAGAAAATTTAAGTCCTATTCCACCCTAGCAAACAAAAATCCAAAGCAGATATACTGATTTTATAATTGTGAAAGATGTCCTTTTTTCCAAAGCCTCAAGTGGGTGCACACAGAGATGCTGTGTGAGTGGGGGACCACGGCCTTTGTGCTGAAATCCAGCAGATCATAGGGAACATGCAGCAAGCTACACCACAGAGGAGGAAACGTAAACACTGCATCCTGGCTGCTGCCAGTCTGCTCTCACTGCCCACAAAATAGGAAGGAGCAGAGTCGCAACTTAGACCTGTGTCTATAAGAGAACACTAAGAAAACATTAAGAGCAAATAAATCTAAAAAACAAAAGTATGCCCCCAAATAGTCCCCAACCCAACTAACCCCCCCCCCCACCCTTTAAACCCAACACACAAACAAACAAAAAAAGCTAAGTCCCCCTGACCTACAAGCAGCCCAACAGGCTGAACCTGCATAGCTTAAGTTCTGCTCAGGGTCTTCCATCCAGGGCTGGAACTGCAGGACCTGCATAAAGGCAAGAACTTGGGAGGTCCAGGAGTAGAAAAACAGAGTGTGTAGACATGCAGAGAGAGAAATCCTTAGTAAATGCAGCACTAGAAGAACAGCAGCTGCCAGAGGCCAAGGGTTGAGGTGCCTTGTCCCTGAAGAGCTATGTAAAGAATCTTGCCCAGCACCTGTCCATAGTGTCCCAGGCTTGATCATTTTGTGATAACATCTAAAGCTGCTACTATATATTGGGGGGGGGGGGAAGATAAAACAAGGAAAAACAAGAAAAAATAAAAGCAAATAAAAGGTAAAATAAGAGGAGAGCAATGATAATGATGACATTCATTTGGAAAGAGTAATTTAGAAAAGATTCAACTCTGGCACAAACTGAGACCAAAAACGACACCTAAGGAGAGGAGTAGCCATTATGATAAAGTAATTTGGGTTTTTTACTGATAACAAAACAACTTAAAAGTGCATGCAAACATAAACTGAGTTAGATTCAAAGTGGTGATAATTGCCTCCAATGAGCTTTGAGCCTGCTATAAACTGTTAAATACTCTTAAGTTATGGGTTACTTTGAGTATATTGCAATATACAGACACTGTAGGAGCATCCCAGGGAATTAACCATGCAGCTGATAAAAACTGTAAAATGGAGAAGTGTGCTTCTTTGCTCCATATCCAGTGTGTGGCTCTTCCACCTCACCCAAAATCAAAGGAGTTTTGTTTCTTTCTACTTTACTGTTTCTTCTACTTTCACCTTCTGTTCTCTGTATGCTGAATTTCAACCAGGTCAATACATGGGAAATAAGGTGCCACTGCCCCCTTGGTCTGCAAAATCCAACAGATGGCAGCTGACACCTTAGAAATGTATTCTCTCACAGGTACCATGGCCAGAAGATGGCTTCTGTGGTGAGAAGAGGTAATTTGGCACTAGTGCTAGTGCTGCTGCAAATACATGATGTATGGAATATGTATGTGTATGGAATGTGCCAGAGCTTCATGAAAATCTCCAGGCTGTTTCTCTTTTGTCTTTCCCAGCTAGCATCCTACAGCCACACTGAGTTCAGACTTCTTAGTATTCCAAAAGCAGAGAGAGATCTCTTCATTTGAGATAAGAAATAGAAAGTCCCTTCTCTGTACATTTTCCTAGGAGCACAAATACTTCCACAGGCATTCCCCAGGAAGGCAGCAGCTGTCACAGCTCAGACCACTAACCCCTCCAAATTCAATCAGTCTGTGGCCAGTCCTGACACTTGCAGAGGAAGGTTTTAGAAACCCCACTTAGGAATTCCCACCCATGGTAAGAAAATGTGTGTGTTCTTTTCACCCCAATAATGTGGCAGTGAGTTCTTACTGTTACTTTCCTTGTAACCTGAGGATAAAGCAAACTCGTTCTTGACATGAAATAGTGCTGAATTTAGAATTTAGATACATTCATTCCCCTACACATGAAAATCCCATTAGGGTGGGATTTCACAGGCTGCATGATTCACATACTGGCAAAATGACATTCATAAGTATTTGGATTTACAAAACTGACCAGCTCACAAAATACCCATTGTAATCTGCAAGAAATACAGATACAACATAATGATTTGAGATTGCGAACAGTAAATATTCCTATCTTTTTGCTGCCAAAATTTATAGTTATTAAGAAACTGGAAGTATTGCTTAGTAATAATAATATTAATTTATCTAGTGGTAGATTGTTCTCCATGGTTGTGGATTATCTGTTTTCTCTGCAAGTAATGGTCTTGCTTATTTCTACTGGTATGCTTTGCAAGTTCATTCATCACTATTTTTCAAAGGACTGTGTAGAGATTAGCTAATTGTGGTACTCTATTCTGAAGTTGGCATGGGCCATTCTTATTTTAGAAAAGAAGGAACTGAGACTTTTTAAAAAACAAACAATTTTTCCTTCTTTAGTAGTGCCTGAAATTGCTAAGTCATATTTTTAGGCTTAGTCTGTACTGCCTCTTTTTGGAATACTTGGGAGCACTGTCTCTGTGCTTTTATTTTACATAATTTAACATGAACAGGGTAATTACACATCAGACTCAGTGTCGAGAAGTGGTCTCAGAATAAAATCCTATTATAGGTTTTAGCCAATGGTCTTGGATACATCTGTGAATAAGCACCTGAGTTACAACACCCCAAGGTGTTCAACACTGTTAATTCTATTCTCCAGTTCTGAGTATTCTAAGCTAATTCTTTTGACCTCTCTGGTTCCAGTAATACACATGGCTGTGAATCCATTCTCTTAAATTCTTAACTGTAGGTGTTGGATTTCAGATAGAGATGACGTGATACTACTTATGTCTTGGCAGTGTCTTTTTCTCTGAGCTCTCAATCTTGAAATGTTTGGCATAGTTAAAGCTTTCTTACATGGGGGGTTTACTTACTCTGTGTAAATTATACTCTTGTAAGAATTCTGCATATCTTTCAAATTTTTTATATGAACATGTGAATATGTGGAAGAGTATTTAATATAAGCTACTAGCTTTTTATATGTTCAAACAAGACAAAAAAAGTGGAGCTTATACCTCAGTCTTCCATAATTTCTGCATAAGCCATTATTTGACCCGGATTTCTTAAGTACTTAGCCCAACTTTGCACAATTTTATCCAAGTCCTAAGCACCCAAGAAAATAACTTTACTGAAATCCTCATGTCACTGAATTAAGTAATAGAATGCACACATACTGTTATATAGCAAGGAACTTACCCCTGAACTTCAAAGGAATTCTGTGACCAGGAAAAAAAAATCCAGAGACTATTTCCCTGTTTTAGTATTACCAGAACTAATGGAACAGAATAATATTTTTAGGTATGTGCACATTATTCCCAAACACATTCAGTCTAGACTTAAACACTCTTGACAGTCCAGAGATGTTCCTGGATATTGCAAAGGGAGCTGTGAAGCAGAGCAGGAGCTGCCCTTGGACTGTGTACATAAACACTTTGAATGTTACTTAGTCTGGTTAAAACTAAATCCAACTTCTTGAACTGAATAAATTTCTTCTTCTTCTCTAGAAGTTGCAGGCAGTAGTTCAGCAATAGATAAGGTCAGGAAGGAATAAGTAATGTGTAGGAGACTTTACACCTGTGGGTGGAAGTTGGGGAATATCCATTCAGTCATGAGCGTTGCTGGTGAGTTTTAACCTCTTCCAGAATATCACCAAGGGTCTGCAAAGCTTTCAGGCACTCTGGGGGATGACAAACAGCTCACATAGGACTCTCAGACAGAATTTGTAAAGTCTGTGACATTCCAACATGCTTTTTGGTAACAATTGTCTATTACTGTTACAAAACTGCTATTATCATTTTTCTGAAAGGTGAACATATACCCTTAGTTATCCCTGACAGCAGCTGAGGGCAGTGCAGCTCATTTGCTAATGATTGTCCCAACATGCAGAGTAGAACTGTAAACTTTTCCTGGCAGATCGTTTATGCCATCTCCCCTAGTAATTCTAGGAATAGTCTGCTCACTTCATGTGGGACAATGTTAATTTTTTCTTTGCTGAAGCACTGGATGTACCAAGTAGCACACAGATGGCCAGCAGAACCACAGATATTCTTGCAGTGGAAATTGTATGGAGTTTTATGAAAACAGTCAGTAAGGTGGTGTAAACATGTATTTTATTTATGTGTTGTCATCTGTAAAGACAAAGGCCTTGCCTTTGTTTGGAATTTGGCTTGCAGACATTGAGGTAGAGGAAACAGTACAACTTCCAGTTCTGTAAGAGAAAAAGCTTTTCTCCATCCTGGAGTGATCTCTCTTCACATTATTTTTTGTCCTTGTTTCTTGTGAGTTTATCTTGTGCAGGGACACCAGAAACTGTAGTTGTGGTTTACAGACCAAACAGTGCCCTAGATTTCAAATGATCTGCAATGTTGCAACACTGTGAGCTGTGACAAGGTCAAGTTTTTGAAGAGCAGCACCACAGGGTGTGCAATTCATTGTAAATGAGACAAGAGTTCTCACTTCAAAGTATTTATATGAAACAAAGACTTTTTAAAAGAAGTAAAAATAATTCATCTGTATAAAAGCTAGTTTAAAAGCGCCTTTAAAAACAGATCACCCTTAATCTGTTCAGAAATGCAGTTCATAACTCTTTCAGTGACAGGCTTTCTTCACACCCTGTGTATCATCACGCCCATTTAACCCATTGACTAATCTACTTGCTAATAGCTCACAGTCTGAAACAAATTCATCACCCACATCTGTATTGCTTAGGCTGTAGTTTTGTCCTGGACCTGACACTGGTGGTGCAAAAGAAACTGAATACTAATGCAGAGAACTCTTCACACCCACAAACTCCGTGGTCAGCTAGGTAAGCTTACAATGAATTCCCCTGTGACTGCAATGTCTTCAGACACTCAGGAGTGGCTTTTGTTTAATGACTGGAGTGTTGTTGTCAGGATTTTGTTTTGAGAGGCACAATTTTGTCTGCTTATTATCTGACAAAAAATCTGCTTTCATTACATCAATTTAGGTAGTTTTCTCATCTCAGCTAATTTAACATTAAGATTTTCTGGCTACAATTTCAGTTTTTGTCTTAGCATTTGTATTACTACTAATTGAGCACTAGTTTTTGAGTTTTCTAATTATTTAATGTCATAAAAACTCTAAAATTAATATGCATAATTCCTGTATCTCATTTGGGGAGAAAAGCTTAGGACTGGGGCACTCTAATTCTAAAACCTCAGACAGCAGTTTGAGTCATAACCCTTAATTAAAAGACTACTCCTAATTACAATACTACATGACTTTTCAGGATCCAACTTACTTTCTGTTGTCCCCATTAAATGTGGCAGTTCATTACTGTATTTACTTTGCACTGGGCTTATCTTCATTAGTGGCCACCAACAGCCTAGAAAGGGATTCAGAATTTTCTTCTATTTAATGTCAAATATATTTATACTGTGGATTATGTCTATAAATCTATTGCAAAGAAAGTTACTGGTACTCTGGTGCCCTCTGAGACTTCATAATCTCACAGATGGTGACTCCTAAAACACACCTTATTACAGCTTGGGAAATGAACTTTTCAGTGCAGAATGCTGCAGTTCATAAATATGAGTTCTACTTCTGCAAAAATTCCTGGTTTTCACTGGGGTCTTCAAGGTCCTCCAGTGCTTCTCTAACAAATACTGTCAGGGAAGCTGTATTAGCTTCTCCAGCTTAAAGCTGTGTGGTGGCTAAATAGCTAAACTTGTATAGAATATATCAGTCATCTTTATGATGGCTTTTGGAAGTATTTCTTTGAAGTGTCAGGCCATTTGATGGTTGAAGAGAGTTCATACTTTTTAAATGACTGTTTTATAGTGCAGTTCAAGTCTCAGAAGGAATTATGAAGTGGCTTTGGAATGCTCTCCATTTGCACTTTGGTACCTACCTCAAATCTTATCTGCTTATAAATAAAATGCTATTTTTGACAGCTACTCCTACATATTTTGATTGGAGAGTGAAAGCCAAGAAAAGTTTTCCTCCTGTTCATTAATTCCTTACAGTAAAGAACTCAAGTTAGGAACCCAGATTAGAAAAAACCTAATGTGAGAACCCTTGTAAAGAATGTTTGCAGCCTTGGTATTCAATCGGGAGCCAGAATAAAGAGCGCATTCTCTGAGTGGCATATGATGTGCGGGTACTATAGGAATAAAAGAAGATTTTGACTTTTCCCACTAGTGTTCATAGGTCTGGTTAGAAACAGTCCTTAAAAAACAAACCAAACCAATCAACCAAACCCTCACATCCCCTCCAAAACACACATACACACAAACACTTGTTTGGGTTTTAGCTGGCACTTTCAGAAGTAATGCAACTTCTAGTCTAGAAAGAACCAGGTGACTTTTCCTTGGGACAGTGGCTGTAGTGGATTCAAATACAAACTTAACCCAGGTTTTGGCTTGAAGCTATTTAAAATATAGTGTCAAATATAGTGGCAACAATTAGGAGACTGTTGGATTTTAAATTTTGTGGGCCACTGAGTTATTATACAGAATCCCTAGATTACTACTAATCTTTTGAACAACTATTGATACTAGCAATATGTGTAGACAACTCAGTAAATATTTCGTCCAGATTTCTTGCAAAGGAAGTACATGCTCATTGCAAGCTTTCTCCTGTCAACACCAACTGTGATAACAACTTAATACGGTTGTCAGAAATGTTCTGTATTTCTGAAATCTGAAAATCCACACTTGCGTTCATATGCAAAATAGAAGGATTCAAAAATAGTAAGGTTGAAGATTGCTTAAAAACTGAATCAAATCCAGTTCAACAGCAACCAAACCCACAAATTTTTTATCATCAGATGCTTTTTGTTCAAGTGGAAAAAAGATATTTGGGATCCTGTAGAATCAAATCCTAGCTTTTCATCCCACTAAGTGATCTGTGAAAATACTTTCTGTGATCTAAAATAAGACATGCAGACCGGAAGTATAACGATACTGTTTTTCTGTGGGAAACAAATGCAGATTCAGAGCTCCTTGAGTCAGGCTTTTTGCATTGTTTATTTGGAAAGACCTTGGTTTCAGTTGTTCTGTCAATGTCATTCATACAAGAAAAAACATTTCAGTGTGACAGCTACATGGAGAATAATTCCTTTTCCTTGCCTTGTTTCACTCAGTTGTTACTGGCTGTGTAACTGGCCAATGCACAAATGGTCTATGCTGTTCCTGAGAAAAGCCTTGCAGCAATAGCTGCTAGAGATATTAAAATTTTGGTTTTTCCTGTTTTCCTTTTGACAGAAATATGATGCTTGTATCTCTTTCAGACTAATCTATTAAAAAATTTCACCAGGGTTTGTTGTTATGCTGACATGCTCTGCCCTTTTTTTTTTTTTTGTGAAAAAGTACATATATGAGAGCTGAGTCTTTTAAATGTTTTAGTTGCTACATTTTTTCCCTGCAATGTAAAAGACTAGTTCAGGGTCAGGAATGCCCATCAAATAGAAGAGACAGAATAGCCTGTAGTTCCTTTTGGAAAGCAATGCTGTCTTCCTGCCAGTACCTTTGCCAGACTTATAGACTGGTGCTCAAGCATCTCTCATATGGGAAAGTGAATTGTTGCCTATCAGCTACAGCTGCTGTGTGTTGCAGTGGCTGTTAAAATTCCTGTTAAAATTCCTAGAAAAGTATTTATTGGTTGGCACAGAGATCAGGGCCCTTGAAGACCACTCAGGAACTGACTCCAACTCACAAGGGTCAGCACCACACAGCCCCTCAGTAGTCTGGGACGATGCTGAGAGCTTGTAGCAGCTCTGAGCGAGTGAGGGATCTGCTCCACCCCTGCTGGGCATCAGCTGAGGAAGTGCTGGGGAGGTCACACAGCCCAGAACTGAAGGGAACAGCGTGGATATGAGGAGCAGGGTTATGCCTGTGTATTGGTGCAGTGTCCACTTTGTCATGATGCAGATTCTGAATTGTTAACAGTCAAAACTGCCCTCCACCAGTTTTCTGTCTTCCTCACTGAAGTGGACACAGCTAAATTATGCTCTCTCTAGCTATTTGCTTGATTCTTGCAGTTGTACCTTGCAGTTGTATCTGCTAGGATATTTTCTTGAGCTGCCCCATTCCTGAGGTAAATAAATCCTTCTTCCCACTCTCCAGTCCTACTGTATCATCCTTGATAGGGAGTCTTGTATGTCAAACCCAAAACATTTTCATAGCAGATCTCATAAATGGATAGTTATATACTGCTGTGGCTCTTTTTCTGTGTACATACATTTAACTTATCTACAGTATTATCAGGGTAGGAGTAAGACCTCATCATGTGATCTTCATCTGTATTGCACCTTTTTTCTGATTCTTGCAGAACCAATACTGGTGTGCACAGTTATCCAAAATATTATAATTTCTTTGTCTCGTGTCTCAATGGTAATGGCAATCTCTGCATTAAACAGAATTAGTATCGTTAGTATTTTTTCTGATATATAAGTGTCATGATTTTATGACCCTTGTAGCCAAATAATGTTTAAATTCAGATAAGTTTGACTCAAGGAATTCTACAATCTTGTGACATAACACTGAAGAAATATGAGAATTTTATATATATATATATATACATATACATATACATATACATATACATATACATATACATATACATATACATATACATATACATATACATATATACACCACATGCAAATTTAAAATGTGTTATTTCACTTTAAAATAGAGTCATCAGCAAATGTAACTGTCCCAGTGCTCACTGATATGATCTTGTGACCAGCAGGAGGGGGAAGGATGGCTTAAACAGAGATCTGTACAGACGTTTTCTTATCTTCTAGAAAGTAAAGCATGCTGCTCCTGCTATGTGATGTCCTCCTTATCATGGCATATTTCTTGAGATTACCCAGAGAGCATCAGCATTTTTTACAGGGAAAATAAAAACCCAGAGTCCAGATTTTTATTGTCTCTTTTCTGCTCCACCTGTGATGTCTGTCTATTTTCAGACAAATCTGAGCCTCCATGGCTGAAGCAGGTTTAGCATTTACACAGCTCAGAGCAATGAGTCACATCTTGGTTCTGTTCAATAAAGCACATAGAGTTCATAATGAAATACAAAGTTATTTCCAGACAGGGCCCCTCTCTGAAAAATGTTAACAGGTGGAAGCCCTAGTAGATAACTTAATGTCTGCTCTTCAAGAGAGGGTTATTTTTACCCCCAGCCTGAGTTTGGTGAGTACAAGTGTACCATGCAAGGATATACAGAAAGCATTTATAGCTGGAATGCTCTGGAGTGCCATGTCCCTCCCCATTTTTAAAGCAGAAGACTCAAACAGTCTGATAATGTGGATGCATTTGTGCTTTCATAACACCTACACGAGGACATGGTTTGATTTCTAGGCACAGAATTAATTTGATCACTTTGAGAACTGGCTTATGAATAGAGAGTACCCAGTATCAAGTCCATAGGTGCTTTGATGAAAAACAGTGTGCAAGAATATTTTTCATGAAAATGCAGCTTTTCTTTTTGAGGTTACTGATCACACTAAGTTTACAGCTATGTAAACATTTCTAGACTTTCATATGCTTATATATGGGAAGTCATCTAAGAAAAAAGGTATATTTCTCTCTCCATTCTTTTTTTGCTTGAGGAAAGATTATTTATTTGTAGCTTCTCTGAAAATTTTGCTTTTTTTCCCAGTGTCTGGCTTTGTTTTTAACCCTTGAAGAAACGCATGCTCAGGAAACTGAGGAGCTTTATGAAGAAATTTGAGCTGGTAACTGAGTGCTAAAGTCTTGTCTGATGGCTGCTTAGCTGAGGGAGAAGAGATTTGATCGCTTGTGGAATTCCCCCTGCCTCAGCCCACGTGGATGGGCAGTGAGCAGCATTCCCTCCTGGCTTGGCAGCTCTGGTCCATACTCAACACAGTGACTTCAGTGCCTTTGTCAGCAGTGTCTGCTGGAGCACTGGAGGCTCACCACTGTCCCCTGGGAATGTGAGACAGCAGTGGCTTATAAAAGCATAATGCATTCCCAGTGTGCTCCTGAGAGAAAGGAGTCCAGCTTTGCTCAGGTCCCGCTCTGTGGGAAGGGCTGTAGAAAAGAAAGCCCTTGGCAGCAATGTCAAATGATAAGTCCCATTGTGGTGTAAACAGGGTTGAGGTTTAGAAATGAAAAATTCAGTGGTGAATCACATGAACTCTCCTTCCCACTTACTGAATACATTACAAGTTTTTAGAAAAATCTGCATTAGTAATACTATAAAAATCTGCTTTTATTGGATTATGGATTGCATTGCATATCCTCAATTGAAAAAAGGGAGGTTGTGCCCCCCCACATGCTTGCCACTAATATATCTTATTGTAAGAGAACTGCTCCGAGTATTTTCATTTCTTTGTCTTTTCTGAAACACCCACTTTGCCAGAATGCCTAATAGAGGCATGTTTTTGATGAGTATCTTTTCTTTAGAAACTGGGCTGAGAGCCACAGACTTGCTTCCAGTGAACCACCAAACATTCTTTTAATTTGATGACTTCAGTAACTGTTGTATTTAGATGAACCCAGACAAGTTTATATGTGAAAGTGTCTGTCTTTCATTGCTAATCCTTTCAGCTATTCAGTCTTTTTAAATCCTTGTCTTTTTAGGCTTAAGAGAGTTACATCCCTATCCAGACACTTAAAATATTCTGGTTTTAGGACTTAAAAAAGTATTTCAAGGCTCTTCCTGTGTTTAAGATTATACTGATAACTGCAAAGAAATTTTTTAAAGCAAAGATTTTTGCAACATTATCCAGCATACATTAGTATTTTTTTCAGGTATAGATGTGCTTCATAACTAAAGAATATTGCTTGCATAGATTAAAATCATCTTTTCTAGGAAAAGACGTGAAGCATGGAGTTATCTGATGTATTGCTTAAAAGAATTCTCCACCTATAAAACCTGGGCTTGCAGAATGTCCTTTCAAAAAAGGAGAAAGGATTTAATGTTTTTCAAGGTTACATGACTAGAGACTGGGATACTGCACAATAGCAATGAAATGGAATAAAGTATCTGCCTTCAGAATAGTCAGTGCTTCATATAAACAGGCTTTGAGATGGTGGAAGAAAGTTTTGTGCCACGGGCTCTCAGATGTTCAGCAGACTTTGGCACTGCAGTCTTCCTTCCAGACCTGGGCAATCCAAGTGGTCGCTGTTTCTGTACTGGCACCCTGCAGAAAAGTGAGAGTTCCCTGCACCAAGCTACTTCAAGCTCTAAGTGTCTAAACTTCTCAAAAGTTACTTCTCTGTTTATGGTGAGCTTTTTTTCTTTTTTTCAGTTCTTACTTTGTTTCAGCTTGAAACCAAGGCCTTTGATGATTTCAACAGCCAAAAAAAGTATAAATAAAGAAAGTGTAAGTGTGGTTATTAAATCTGGGGAGTTCTACAGAGTTTCAGTGATACTAAAGATGTATCCACATCTTTGTCTTAAAGCTTGCTGAATCAAGATGGTGATCATTAATTCAGCTGAATTTAAAGATAGATAGTGACATGAAAGGGATTATTTTCTTCCTTTGTTTTTCTTGGTTTTAGTGAAAATCCAGAGCGTCACAGAACATAATACATGTTTTCATGAAGTTCTCAACAACAGAAGTTGCCATCTTTTACTGAACAAATTACAACTTTCAGCTACTCATGGAAATTGCTCTTAGAATACTCTTTTAACGTCATGGAGAGCTAAAAGTAATCAATTATGCTGGAAATGGTATCTGAGAGAATCTGAAATTGCCTGAACATGTTAGCATAAGGGACTTTGTGCTTGCTTAGTGGGAAATAAAAATACTCACAGCTACCATGAACAGTAAGAAATGCAAGATACTTAATTTTTTCACAACTTCATAAAGTGTTTTAAAGCACTCACATAAGTGCTGTACTCTGGTATGGTGACATGGTGAGCATCTACTTCTTAATCTGCTTCTAAATTCCTAGGTAAACACATTCCTATGTCTTACCAGATATTAAAAATGTATCAGGAAATATCAAAAATAGAAAGGCAGTTCAGCCTTCAACACAGTAGTTTCTGTGGTGGAAGACAAGAGTTCAAAGGAATTACCCTTAACCTTTTGGGTTCCAGAAAGAACTGCACTGAACATGGACTTGCTTTACTTTTAAATCCCTTGTCTGACAACTGCCCCTCCTCCTGCAGTACACAATGATGCATACAGGTCCAAAAGCTACAATAGCCTTTAAATCCTGAAACAATCCTCTGTGCTTGCTGTTGGCTGTATCGTGGAGATGGATGCTAAAAACTTGGCACTTTCCTCTCTGTGAAACACAGTATTTGAATTAAAGAGAATAGTTCAGTTTAAGATTTGCTGACAGATGCAAACAAGTTCCTGAGAAGCAGAGCCTGACCTCTCCAGTGTGATTTTTTTCTTCCGGTGTCTTACTCCACAAACTTTGAGAAAATGCTTTCACTTATCACAAAGCCTCCCTTGTCCAGAAAAAGAGGGAATGCCCTCATTTCCATGCACCCTGAGGGCTTCCTGAAACACCCCTGTGTTGCCCTGTCTCGCTGGTGCCCTGGGGCAGCCCGACTAAGCAGAACATCGGATTGGTTCCAGGCGCTGCTGCCTGCCAGCACATTGTAGGACTAACTTGCAAGGAATGTTCCCCTTGGCAGGCAGCCTCCTCCTGGCATCAGTGCCAAATGATATCAACCATAATTGTTACTATTTATGATTTTTCTTGTTGCTTTTATGAATCACTGCTAAGACAGCTAGGTAATTCCAAATCTTTGAACAACTTGTACAGTGGAAAACCTGATAATAGGTAGAGGATAGTATGAATTATTTTGAATTGAGTCTACAATTTTTTGAGCTGAGAGATAAAAGCATATTCTTCTTGAGCTGCGAGATCCAAATAAAAGAAATGGCGAGTCTTAGGACTCCAGCATTGACACTGTCTTGCTGTGTGCCCTGGAGAAGTTTCTTGAATGTCTCTGTTTTCTTTTACTTATACTTTTCTCTATATTCTGTTACTTTGCACTCTTTTCCAGCTGATTTTAAACTAATGTAAGCAAGCATGTCCACATGTAAATAAATATTTCAGCACTGAGAATAGCATCATCTGTATGCAAAGGATCTGACTGTGTACTGAACTTTTTGGTGTGTGGATGAAATACACAGCTAAAAATGGTAATTCTATTTTTACCTGAAAGTAACACATAGTTAAAAATATAACAACTCTGTCCTGTTTTGCTTTTTCCAAGTAAGCAAAATGCAAATATATGTGAAATTCCTGAGGTGAACAATGCTGTAAGTGCCCAACAGCTCTGATTCAGGTTTGGACTTCCAGAAACCCTGAGCCTGCTGTCACAGGCATTCTGGAAAATGTTGAGTGAAACAGCTATGCATGCACAGTAATTCTGGCATGTCCTAAAAGCAGGTGACTGCTGTCAAGTACAGTGTCATATGAATGCAGGCAGTTTTTATCAGGAACTCCCAAGCAGAAATTTGTTTGTCCTTTTCTATGTGTCATGACTAAAGCAGACACAAAAATCCATTTTCTGTAAAAGAGAGAACATTGTATGCAAGGTGCTCTGGGGGTGGGTGGGTTGGGATGCTCACTGTAACAGCAGAGGAAAATAAGTCTAGTCTTTGGTGCTGAAGAATAACCTTCTGTAGCACACATGGGCTACTAGAGACTTCTGTGGTAGGATGCTTTGAAGGATGCTCTAAGTTCTAAACAAGGGTGTTTGTCAGTGTTTTAATCCACTTCTTGTGATTGACTGGGGGAAAATATAGTACCCACCTCTTCTTCCATTTTTGGTGTGTTTAATGCCTCTGCAATGATGTCATATGAATAATATTGCTTTTTAAACTTCCGTACTGTTGCCAAGTGTCAATAATACTCATGATAGAATTTGAACTTTTTATTGCCTTTAGTTATTATTATGTATTTAATTCTAAGTGCAGTATTACATATTTCATTTTGCAAATGAAAAGTACCTATCAAACATCATTGTTTATACTGACAAGGTTATGAAATATACTATTCAAGCAAAATACAATGTTTTTTTAAAATTTGAGATATCACAGGAGTGCACATGCTAATGTGGGCATATAATGCAACTGCATATATCCCCAAATATTTGCATTTTCATCAGGCTGATGTTTCCTTGAGGAAATGGGCTGTTAGCCAGCGTAACAGACAGACCTCAAATATGAAGCATCTGGAGACCCAAGCAAGGCAGCACAGCTGTGTTATGGCATCAGAGGGCATGACACTTGTACAGAAATAGAAGAGCTGGTGGCTTGGAGGCAAGAGGCAGAAGGTTTGAGCTGATTAGGGATGCCCTGCCCATGCCAGTTCTTCTTCTTGCCTTCAGACAGGCATTATGGCAGAGCAGGCACAATGCTTATCCTGTGTAGAAAAACAGGATATTTCTTAGTACAAGGCATGGAGAGAAGTGGAAAAATGTTGAGGTACACTGCACAGGTCACTTACTCCAAGGAAAGGAGAGGGTAATTTTTTCAATGTCTCAAATCAAAGACTGAACTGTGGGGAAGTCTCTAAAATGCTCTGAATGCCTCCATTGGGGCAGCCAGCAAACCCTCCCCATCAGCTTTAAAGAGGGCACCCTCACTCCTGGTGCCCAGCACAGCAGTCTCCAGCTCACATGGCAAGGATCTATGAGTTCAGTTGTTTACTCTCCTGACCCAAGCCCATAAATACACAGAAATATTTTTCATATCTTGTTGACTTTATTCCAAACTCTAGTTAGCGCAAAACTCTGAAAACACAGTTTTGTGGACAACCAATGAGAAGCTTTATTATGATGCAGTTTCAGAGTCAAGAATCAAAGGATTTTTGGTGTAACCCTGCCTTGAAAAAGTTGTAATACAGCTGGGAAATGTTCATGTTTTGTAAACATGAATTACAGAAACCAGAACCAGTACATTAAGTTTGAGGCCATTCTGAATGAATGGGTCTAGACATACTGGCATTTTAAGTACAAACACAAACTTGTTTCAGTTGTTCAGGTTCCTCTTTCTTTTTTTAAATCTTGGTAATTCTTAGAAAACAGAATGCAGCCAGGGGAAGGATGGCAGGGAAGTGGTGGTTCATTTGGTCAATGGTACACTGAAATGTTTTTTCTGTCTTTTCTAGTGAGGAAAAGGCTTTTCCAGAACTTTTGTTTTCCCCTACCCCAGTAGTAATGTTTCAATTGAATTACCACATATGGTAATTTTCAGCAGTCATCTGGCCCACCCAGGAATGTGAGTCTTGCATTTTCTCACTGCTAAAATCTTAGAACTAAAACTCTCCCATGTTTTAGCTGCACTATCAAAGTATGTTTGTAGTGTATCAAACTGTAGATCTA